TAAAGAAATTATGAAACAACTGGGATTCCTACAGCTTTCAGTGACTATGTCACCTGCTGTCATTAGCACGTAAATGGAGGTATATGGCAAGTCTGATTACACAGGCGTGCTAAAAATAGCTTTCCAGAGTTACTGACTTGTATCTATTGATAGCCTGTTGACATCATTTCTCTGGTACTATGTTTTTACAGCTAATTAATATGTACCTTCTCCCCAGTCCGTATATCTAAAACATGCCAAGATACATGGACTTTCAGTGCTTACAAATTACCATAATCACATACGAACCATAGGATTTACTAGAACTCAAGCGTAAACTAACTTGTATCCCAGAGGCAGGCAGACTGCAAAATTTGGCTTTGCTCATAGCTGTGGAACATTTGGAGCCAAATAGTTGGTTAATGCACTACAAAGATAGGAAAAAGTCATGAAATTCACATGTGTTTTGAGATTCAAATTCCACTGCAATATTGGCAGCTGCAAAATTGGACTTACCATTTGGCGCTATCTCTACCGTCTGTTTTCTTTATCCGAGGAGGGAGAAATGTGTGGTATGCTGTCCTTATATCCAGCCTTTTGTCTTGGCTCTAATAGCATGGGAAGACTAAAAATCCTAACATTTAACCAGGTAGGTATTCCTTTTGATATGGAGAAGAAAAGAGTTGCCCTGGAGCGGTTGAAGCTGACCTCATACCACCCAGCCCTGCAACATTTGTGGCGGATAGCATGTTGGCGGCAGAAGGGGCCATAGCAGCAGCAATTTTATTTTGGCTATTATCTACCAGTAATCTATCCTGGGGAAAAAAGTGGTCTATACAAAGAAATCTTTAGAGAAAGAGGGATGCAATCAGGTCCTTTGCAAGCTTACTTCATCTGCTATCAGTGACAAACACATCTTCGACACCCAGCTTGAAAGCCTCACTGGAAATAAGGATCCAAGTTTGGATCCAGTGCAATGGTTTTAAGGAAAGAAAACCTTTTAGAATGTGCTAATTGCATAAAATCTCTGGCAGGCTTGAAAAATCTAATTCACCAAAAAATCTGATTCACCAGTAACTCTGAACTATGGCATGTGGCATTGCCTTTGTTTTCCAAAAGAGGGCTCTTAATCTCTTTAGGCTTCTATCACAGACCTTCTTCCATCCATAGAAATCCCTCCTATCTGCTCTAGCATCATTCTTTTACTTAAATGACTTATTTTCTCTGGATATTGATCTCACTGAAATAATTTAATCTTATTTTCCTCCGCTTCTGACCTCACTGATACATTTATAGCCACCACATGATGCTTGTAACTGTGATCGACAATGTCAGTTCTCTTTGCTATTAAAAGTCATTATGCCTGCTGTAGTCAGGATGATCAATATTTTAGCAGAGGAATCTGAAACACAGTAGAGATCTGTCAGATGAGAAATGCTTTTTTTTTCCCAGCTCCCTTCTTTGTACCAGAGTCTTATACAGCTTTCAGAAGAACGAACGAACGTGTTTGCATTTCATAGTTTTACGCTTTTTTCGCTTGGGACTGAGATGGGGAAAAAAAAAAGAGTAATAGTAAAATTTTAAAAGTCCCTAAGAGTATGTACATGTAGTACATATGATATAAAGACTCACTAAACCAACATCTACCTGCACTGACCCAGGTAGGCTGCTACTAGCCTCTGAGCAGACTCAGTTTGCAGGACATCTGGCTGTCTACAAGGTTTTCTGGTGCATGGTTTTGAAATGCTCTCAGTAGTAGAAATGTGTAAGTCTGAATTTTTAAATACTTTATTTAGGAGCCTGAGGGCATATCTAAAATAGATTTAGCGTTTGTTATTAGCATCCCATTTTTAGAGATGGCAAAGAAGAGGGGGAACGATGTTGCAAGTAAAGTCTCTTTTGCAACTTCAGTGATTGGATTTACAAAGGTAGTTAGGTGCCTAAAGGTGCGGATAGCCATCTAGAGGGATTTATTCAGTGAGTGACGTGCCTGAGTCTCACTAAACACTGAAAGGAGTTACATTCCAGATCTGTTCAAGTGCTTTTATAATGGCAGCAAGGCACTTATTTCCACTGTTAGACATCTATCTGTCTCTGTAAGACGGTCTCCAGTTTGTTGCAGAAGACCAGCAAAAGGAAAAATGATGAAAAGCTTTGTATTTTAGCAAATATATTCTCCTCCTGGGTTAGGGAAGGTTTTATTTTTCTAATGGATTTTCTGGCTGTAGCTCTGACTCAGTTACTCTGGCTCAGTACTCTGCTGTCGCAACATGGCACTTTACAGCAATAGTAAATAAGGCCTGGTGAGTGGCATTCTCCGTAAATTGAGAGGCATTATTCACCCAGTAACATTATGTGTATCTTCCTGCAATGATGTCTTTTCCTTAACTCTTTCACTACTGACAGGTCCTCTGGGGAGAAGAAATGACGTCTGTGGATGTGTCAGCACTCCAGCCTAACAAGGGAGCTTCTAATGAGGTAGTACCAGGTAAACGGGGCAGTTGCCTACCATACAAATTATTACTATACACGTTTTTTCCTGTGAACATCATGCATTAGGGAACACTGAACAAATTACTGAAAGAAATCAAAAGAATCTAATTGCAGTGATTTTTATAGCGAGAGTTAAGGGATGCATGTCAAAAGGACTGATATATAATTATGTTAATGTTGGTTGCAACTGTTATCTAAGCACTCGAAATGGGCGGCACTGTGTAATCTTTATAGAAGTGAACCACTTTGATAACAAAATGACATAGTCTTAATACGAAATAAAGATAAAAATGAAAGGAAAATAAAATCAATCAATTTGTAGGAATAATAATCAAAGAGACAGCACACAATGTGCTGGAAAGACAGCATAAACAAAAACCCACCAACCTCTCCAACCCAAAATCTCTGCTGCATGTTTGACTCACACTATGTTAAAAACTGAGATGAGTGCACGTTGCGTAAACTGGTAATCAAAATCAAGACATATTAGCATGACAAGAAAAGAGTAGTAAGTGGAGAAAGAAAGGAATTCAAAAAAATTATTAATAATGGAAAAGAGCCTAAACCTAGCACTCAAAGTGTAAAACTCCTCTAGAGTTTTGAACTTCTCCATGTATTTAGTTTGGTCCAGATTCTCCAAGGTACTCCAAACTGTAACTGCTAAGTAGGTGCTGGATGCCCTTGGATTCAGGACTCAGACATCTCTGAGGACCTAGGTCTTTGCATTTTGGTTTCATGTTTGCTGATAAAACTGATAAAACTGTCAGCAATAGCAGCAATAGATAGAAATAAAATACTAAACACATGATTTTAATTTAATATGCATTTTGTTCAGCACGGATATCATTTCACTACACAAAAACCATACCTACTGTAACATAACGCCATCTGTTGACAAATGACCTGGACACCGGAAAACTGTGATTTTTTTCCATTCATTACATATGAAAATCCTAAAGTGTTCATGTGCAAAGCCCACGAACCTGCTGGTAGGTCTGTGCTCCTGTTCATGGTGTAGGTGTAGCCTAGAAAACTCAACTCTTATTTGAACAATGACATCAACAAATTGTCAATTATTAGTGATTTCCAGACTTTTGAGGCCACCAGTGGGAGATCTCAAAACTTTCATGGACCAGTATCCAGCCTTATTACCAGTCTTGTAATGGAAAATAAGGCTGAATAAAATGTTTATTAGTACTCTGCTGACTATCACTTATCTCACGAACTGCAGAGTTTGTATCACTTCATTAAGCTGTCATCATCAGACTTCCTAACAAAAACACAATCTCATTTATAAGCTAAGTTTATATATCTTTTCTAAGTTAAAAAAGAAAAGTAGACAGGCAATGGGGAGGAATCCTTCATTTCAACATCCTGAAAGTTCCACAAATATATTTCTCTATGTACTGATTTCAAGAAACTACTTTTTGTCTTGCGCTCATTTAAGCAATCTGCTCCCATGAGATCACACAGACTAAAAGGATATGACTTTACTGTCTGTTAGTCTTCTCAAATTCATTATACAACTAATTCCACTGATTTAAACAACTCCTGTCTCTCTTTTAAATACACAAACCTATTAAATGCTTCTCTAACATGTAAGAGTTGTAATTACTACGCCTTTTTCCTAAAGAAATGTTAATGTTTGGGACTTCCCTTTTAAGACATATCTTCACAACCACTTGGGCACATACACTGGTCTCTTCTGGTATCTGTAATAGCCGGATACCATTTATTTAGTAACACTTGATAGGGACTGCAACGTAGTCCCCTGAGCGTGACCTTCCAGAGGAATTCTACTGCAAAGCCGTTCTTTCCTACCAGAAAAGATCTCTCTCCTATATACATCCTCGCAGCCTGCTGACCTTCCTATTGCTGCTGGCCACTGTGACTGTTTACACAATATTGCTTGACCAAGATTTAAGTTCATTGACTTGTCTTTAATATCCAAATAAATTCCACTGAACTATTATCTTGATTCTCCACTGGATCCTGTGTTTTGCTCCTTTCTATAGCATGTTGCTGCTGAATGTCAAGGAGATAAAAGGGAATCTGATTATTTGAACGTGACCATGTTACTGTAGATTGCTATTTCACTAACAAATTTCCCTAATTGTGATACAAAACGTCAGAACGTAATAACTAGAACAAGAATGAAAAAAATGCTATTTCATAATTGTAGAGGATTCAACTTTGCTATTATATGTTTTTTGTTTATTTAGGATGATTTAAATTTAGGTTCTGTTAAAAATGTCTTATCTAGACATCAAGGAACACGGCTGAAATGATTAACAGGATTTCCATGCGAGACTGTGAAGGTTTTTCCATTCTGGAATTTTACTTCAGGAGATTACGATGTAAGAAATAGCATAAGGCTTATCAAAAATCTGTCATCTTCTGAAAGAAGAAAAAGGGCCACCTACACCAACAAGAAATGAGCCAGCAACAGATTCACTGGCCACACTGCTGCCCAGGGTGACGAAACAGTCTTAATCACATTTCTGGCATCTACCAGAATGATTTCTTACCTTCACTGCAAATTCTGTTTCTGTTGCTTTATGAACACATCGCTTGCACACTGAATAGGAGCCAATTCCTATGTCCTCCTTGATCTCATATCCATCTGTAAAGTGAATATTGTTCCCATGTAACTGCTATAGGGAAAGACAAAAGAAACAAGGTAATCAGGGCCTGGGTAAATAAATGCAAGGACTAGCCCAGTGTAGGAAAGGAAATGCTTGATCTCACTTTCTTCACAAAACTCTCTGGTTCTTAGGTATTTTTCCTCCCAGTTTAAATATAACATGCACGTATGTCCCTGCCCATCACATGTGAAGTGTAACATCAGCATCAGTACCTGCACAATTGGATGAACTGTGATTTTGTGCACATCTTGCTGTGCAGGTTCCTGCACCAAGTTAGAGGCGACGAAGCTGAACCCTCTGAAAAGATGATGAGCATTGGCACTTGGAGGAACGCCTGGGGAATCTGCAGGAGAAAGAAGAAAATGACCTCATGAGCTGGACAAAAGATCAGAAAGTAATAGCACAGCACGTGCAACAGAGAAAGTCAGAAAGTAACAGCACAGCACGTGCAACAGAGAAAGTCACCTCGCTAGTCAGCAACAAAACCTGCTAAACTGGTAGACACATGTGAATACAACCCATCTCCATATCAAGACTTTCATGTGCCTTTTCCAGTCCTTTCCTCTGGGAAACAGTGTGGGAATATTGTTTGCAAGGATCTCCCTCATGGGCAGAGAGGTTTTATTCATTTTGCATTTTGCATTTTCATTTTCATGCAAAGCACTGCATGTGCCAGGAGTCGCTGTACAAGAGAGAAGGCACAGGCTGGCCAGGCTAGGAGGAAGAAGGGACAGCTCAGGGCAGGGCCTCCTCTGGCTCAGAAGAGATTCTCAAGGGAGTGGAAAAAAGCTGGAAGCTGCTATGTCTTACCTGTGCGGCACACCTTGGCTACAGAAATTACAAAGACTGAAGTGCTATCTGGTAATATGGTATGTTGTGCGGGTTAGGAGAATGTAGAGGACAAAAAATCTGAAGCAAGTGTAAAAGTGTGATGGTCCTCCAGTGGCAGCTCCAGGCCTCATAAAGATCTTTCAGGAACAGCTTTAGGAGCTGTGGCCTACTCCAGGGAAGAGGCCAGTAGACATTTCCCTAGGGCAACAACATGGCTGGAGGCATCTTAAACAACCTTAATGGAGATATTCTCCCTGCTCCTTCCCTGGACATGGAAAATGCAGGGGAGGGAGTGACTGGAGTTCAGAGAGGTCTGAATTATTCCACCTTTAGAATCAACCAACTAAAGAGCAGTTCCTGGTACCTGTGCCATCGCTAAGCAAAAGAAACATCCTGCCAAAGCAAGAAGAGAAGAGCTGCACTTTACTTAAAGCTTTGAAAAGCTTTAAAGAGATCTCTTCCCCCAATATCTATTTTGTCCCAGGTATTTTCATAAGCAAGTAAGAGTAGCATTTGCAAACCATTCCTGGGTAGCTGTATGAGTAATTATAAAACCTGTGTTACTCAAATTTTCTCACCTTTTATTTGTTCTTTTGGTTTTTTTTTCCCTTCATATTTCTTCCAGGGCAACATGTGATTAACCATGGCAAGTTTAAAGAGCTAAACTTCCTGCAGAAAGCTGTCTCCTTCTAGGGAGTGTATAAATGCCCAGTTTCACCAGATCAAAGAGAATACACCCCCTCTGAACCTTACATCTGACTCAACTGCCTGCACCACCAGCACCACCCATTAGCGTAAAGGGGAATGGCGTGGAGGATTGCTTACGGTCCTGAAAATACATGAGAATGTAAGTATTTCCATGTGTGGACATTCTCTTCATAAATCTAACAGTCAACTGAACAGAAGATTCTCAGAATAGCCCTTCTGAAGCCAGAATATGGTAAAGAGAAACGATCTGTCCAGCAATAAGAGAAACGCAGACTGCAGCTGATTCCATATCTCATTACAAAGCAGCCTCAACTTTGATGGAAGTCAGAAATAAGCACAGCAAGTCAGATCTCCCTCCGACGTTTGTGGAGAAATGTGTTTTTTGGGAAAATGACATGGGCTATTTGTTTATCTCAGTGTATTGAGGGGCACTGTCCTTGCAAACACATGGATGAATCACACCAGACCTCTTGCATCACTGGGTACTTCTTACAGTGACATATATACTACAGTAATTTTCCAGGCTGGATTAATTAAGAAAAATAATGCATGTTTTGAAATAGGAATGAGACTAACTCAAATATGAACACTCCTGAAGTTAGTGCTAGCTCATTTCTATTTGAAAATAACTGTTCCTTCAAAATTCACTGCCAAACTCTTTATCAATCAGTGTGAAAGAACTACTTATTATTTGGTTTTCAATATCAAACATTCATCACCACTGACTCGATGTGCCCATCATATGAACATATCTTTAAAACACCTGTGCCCAGTGTAAAATCATGTTTAAATCATGTTAATTAAATGTGATATCTAATAAGCTATGAAAGCTGAATAATTTTTCTAGCCTTGATAAATCCAGAATCACTTGATATGTCTGAGTTAGACCCACATACAAACACTGACCTTGTATAGTGCTTATATTTCTAAATGTGGAAGTCATAATGTTTTGTCCCATGAGAGCATCTTACATTAGAGGATTTCCAAAGGCTTCATAAATCTTAAATGATTTACATCAGTATACTTCACTGGGGTTAGCAAGCATTGTTATCTTATTGGCAGAAGAGGAAACTCAGATACTTGAGGTGAAATTTTACATTCTTTTTGTCAGCAGTAAAGCCAGACAAAGACGCCCCTGCCTGTTACCCACTTGTATTCCCTGTTACAGCACACTGCCCCCATTACTCACGACAGTACAATCATTTGTGGATTGTACTGGAAGATGGATCACCAGAATGATCTTGGTTTGATCTTTGTTCAAACAGCCATTTTTAACCTGGATCATTTCAGTCTCCTGTTCCCCGTGAGGTGCTATAAACAGCTGATTCAGCACAAATGAGTCCACGGAGGTGGACTTGGGAAACAAATGGCCAGAAAAAGTGACTCCTCCAGTCAGACGAACCCCTGAGAAAAAATGCTATGAAACTGTACCTATAGAGATGAACTGACAAATGTCAGAAAGTGCAATTTTGGCATGCTCAGAACAGAGCTTAGGAATCCATGGAAAGATGATTCAACCTCTGGTTGAAGAAAGATTCCTGTGATACAGCAAATTGCTAGACTGGCAAGTTACTGGAGCAAAAACTTTGATATAAAACTGTTTCCAGAAGTAGAACTCATTCATAAAGACAGACTGCAAAGTGACTGTATGTATCTGTGCCTTTCTTTGTTAATATCTTTCTGATAGCTTTATTAAAACCCAACACCTGCATTACCGTCATGAAGCCTAAGCAATTAGTTCAGTGCTTTCTGTCTGGGTATGTTCTCAGTGACAGGGTGAGTTTGTCTGCAGCCTATGTCGTGATAGAAAAAGCACAAAATAAACAGGGTTCTTGTCTGATTCCACTGGACTGACAATGTGTGCCAGCGTTGCAACACTCTCTTATGATATTCTCCCCTCCTGGTCAACCCCACCAGTCAACATTCGCTAAGTTAGAAATTCATTATCATTTGAGATCAGGGCAAGCTTTAAATCCCGATCTTTGGAGGTGAAATGCTATGTTAAGTGCATTAAACCATTCTCTTTCAGATCTCCTAAGCCTTCCCTCACTGACCTTTTCAGGCAACTGTATGGCTCCAGACAACCCAAAGCTTCACAAGGGGATTGCTTACTTGTTTTTCTCTCCCCAGCGTGCTATAAATTTTCAGTGCAGCACTGGCATTAGCAAAGAGACGGCACTGGGAAAAAGACTGTTGCAGATGTGACTGGACTTCACTGAGGAGTTACAGCAAGGCCCTGAGTGCATGCAGTCAAAGAAAAATGCACCAGGGCTGCGTCTGGGGAGCACAGGGGTTGCAGAGCATGTGCTGCCAGTTTGCAAGGCCCTTTTTCCCACTCCGGAAGAGTAAAGGAACTCACACTTACCATTGCAGCTATGTTGAAATTATAGGGTTTGATTCTCAGGCCAACTTCCCTGGTAGCATGAGGCAGTATCATAGCAGATCATTTCCCCGCCCTAATCCCCACCCCACAACAAACCTTTCAAGTCAGTGTTTTACATGAAATACCAGACAGAATCAGGCAATACTACTAACTTGTATAGTATGAAATATAACCCAGTACATCAGTACATACATGAAGTACAAGAGTTTTCATGACAGTAAGACTGATGGAGTGTGAATTTCCAAAGCAATCCAAACACGACTCAGTGCTTCTCTGAGACTCTCCACGGCAGCACCAGCCTACAGCTCCCACAAGAAAAGACTGACTTGCAGTCTCTAATACTTCAGAGAAAATGGCCTGTGAGTTCCTCTGAAATCTGACTTAAAGCTGAAATCAGCTGTGAAATGTCTGGTATCCAAAGATCACCTGCTTCCACGCAATAGGGTAGAAATACCAGAACACCACTAATATGTATTGGAGATAGGTGGATGGCCCACTTGGGCTCAGATAAGCAGAACTGTAACTTTTCTCGTGGCTTGTGAAAGTTTGTGCACCCTTGCCAAAAAGCTAGGAACAAAGACTGATAACATGTTTTACTAGGTACCATTTCTTCCTACCCTACGGAAGGGAGTTTGAGCTGAGCCAACTAGACGTTTGGGCTACTTCTAAGGAAAAGGCTGCAGACAGACCATGATGAGCCTGAATGAAAACTAAATGACATCACAGCTCTGATTCATGTGCTGCAATACAGGGTTTATCTTAATAAAAACTCAGCTCTCTTTGCTCTTACTGGAATAATTGTGGGGGAGTTTAAAGGCTGAATCTTGATACCTCAGTTATTATGACTTAGTTATAACAACTTGGTTATTATAACAATACTACGTAATATTCATAGCACTTGCCATCTTCCAAGTGCTTTAACAAACAACGGCTAATGACATCTTCATGCTTTGGAGGGTACAGTTAGGTACTATATTACAGGGGGATAACAAGGGCAGAACAGAAATGTAACTTATCCATGTTTAGCAAAAGGCAACATTATAACTGAGATAGATTGCTGTTCTGAGGTTACTGATATTCTTACTTTCTACAGGGAGAGAGACGGAGTTTTGTGCACTTTCATTTTTATATATATGGAAATTATAAGAACAGCATTCTCACTGCAAGCATTTACTAAACATTGTGGGCCAAACTACTTGTTGGCATAACTCCACTGATAAGAGAACCTGATCATTTTCCATCACTGCTATCCATGCATCAACTTCCAATGGTCTGTAGTCTAGGAGGCATTTTCACAATTAAAGAGAACATCTATGGAATATATAATTACATAGTAACTTGCAGAGATGCAAAGTTCCTTGAAGCTGATCTAATTAAAAACAGTTAAATTCAGCTAACATAAGCAACAGCAATAGCAATAGAATAACTAATCAACAGTTATTTTTGCTATAAAAATGTGAGACCTGTCCTTCCTGAGGCATAACCAATGTGAAGTTGGTAAAAGGTTTATGAGCTTTTTGGAAATGCAGAATACTCTTTGCTTTCAGCTGGACATTGCAAAACCCACTAATCCCATGGGTGATCAGACTCTCTGATTCAGTCGCAATGAGGAGGAAAGGAAGAATGAATTTGCTCACTAAAAAAGATCTGTTAACCATGTGCCACCTTACTAACCTGTGGGGGTCCGAGACGTGAACTCTGGATCAAAATGAAAGGTGTCTTCTGGCCGTCCCACTGCTGGCTTGAAAGGCGGCTTGATTTCTTTCCTATATAGTTTCTACAAGAACAAGAATAGATCACAGTCAACAATATAACAGCATTCTGTGTCTGAAGATCGCTTCCCAAGCTTTGCTTAGGGTGTCCTCTGGGAGACAGGTGCTAAACTTGCAGGATTGACAGAGGTGATGATGTATCCATAGCTCTGGCTCCCGCTTAACTAGTAAGGTTAAAATCTGTGCCCTGGATGGTCTCTGCAGTTTTCAGTTATGATAACCCAAGATATAAACACAGATATTTCAGATATAAATTTAGTCCATAGACTGGCAGCAGCACATGAATCAGCTGGGGCTTCTGGAAATTCACTGGTCTTTAAGGGCAGGATTGGAACGTGCATTGGTGACGGAAACTGTGCATGGGTGAGTTCAGCAATGCAGCAACAACGATCAGCACACAGAACCACTGGGAAATGGCAACTGTTTTAGCATTTATTATTTATCAAGAACTAGCAATACGCTTGACATCCTGCCAATCTGAACTGAGCAACAGGCCTTGCTGCTTGGTGCTCACAGTCTAAACAAAAGACTTCTTCTTTTGGCATATCTGGAAAAATAGAAGGGGAGCTGAAAAGGGACGGGATTAGATCAAATTCCTATCAAAAAGAGGTAGGAAGAAAGCTCTGCAGATGGCTGGGGAGTCATGTTAAAGTCCTAAGCATTCCTTGAGCAGAGGAGCAAACCCAAGGGAAAAATTAAGGAACAGAGGAAGGTATGTAACAGATAAGCACTGCTATGGAAGTGAGTTTGTGCTGTGGAGTGAGGGAGCAGACAGGGGATGATGTAAATAACAGTTACGATAGATGTATGCTAATAGACTACCTTCTTGTGGGCATCTTTACACGCATCTTGTGGGTTCTTTACAAATGCTCACGCTTACCAGTGCTTAACAAATTGCTTCACTGTGCTCCTTTGCAAGCATTAATACGCATACACACACACACTCACTCTGGAAAATGAATAAACTGAGGCACAATACGTCTGGATCTGATCCGAAGCCTACAGAGGTTAACGGAAAGACTGCTATTGATTTCAGCGACCTCTGCTTGAACTGGCCAAAACTGAATGTCACGCTGATGGCAGCATGGGGAGCAGAACTCTGATTTGACTCCCTGCCCCACGTTTCAATTTATAGGCTGTGTTCCCTTTCTAGCAATACTTTTGTTCTCGGGTTTCAAAGGGCTGAATTAATTGCAACAGACAGCCCTCAATAATTAACGTGCCTGAGCAAAAATATAATGTTTCTTTAGAACCTTCAAGCCACAATAAGAGCTTGAGAGTTCAATTTTATGACTGACTGCAATGTGTATTTTCAGGTTAACTCTTAAAACAACTTCATAATGAGCTGATTTTTCAAAATATTTAATGGAGATTAATACATGCTCGTCCAACTCTTTGCATGCAGGAAGATTTTTTTTTTATCTGTGGTTTTTGTGGTGAATTAACTTCTATAATATGAAGCATGTGGTCAGCCTGAGATATATACACATCAACATAATTTAAACTTCATTTTGCATAGATAAATAAAGGTTCTTGAGGCAGGACATTCTGTGGCACAGTACTAGCATTAGCATAAAGCAGATGTTTGTGGCTGAACTTTGATTCCTCGGAAAAGTGGAATGGTGAGGCTGGAAATGACACTGCAATAATTAATGGCCATTTCACCATAAAAAGTTCCTGCTTGCGTAAAACTGCTCCATATCTTCTGAGAGAAAAAGAAATGAATAATTGCTGTGAGCCACAATGGAAAGCCAGTCCTCCAAATAATTAAAAGCCAATTGCAATCTTAAGCAGGAAGTGTCACTCATCAGCTGAAAAGTAGCAACCTAGTAATTAGCGTATGTACTTTTCTGTCTGTGTAGAAATTTAAAAGACTACTCAGCACCTTCTGAAGGTTTTCCTGTTGCTAGGATTTCACCTTGAGAAATCTATTTGCCTCCAGCTTCCCTTTATTTGTCTTAATACACAACTGCATGCCTTTACTGCACATAGCAGTATGGCTGCACACACATGCTTCCTCCCAAAATTGAATGCACCTCTCATCCTGTGAGGTCCAGAAATTGGAAAAAGTTTTAGAAATGAACATCACTCAGGAACTGCATTCTCATTTGATTATCATAACCATATTCTCCCTGGCCTTCTAATTCTCTCCCCACCCCACCATCTGTAGTTTCTTAAATGCTGTTGGAGCTACATGTGTGTTTTGAATCCCTACGCCACATCCTCCACTACTAAGGAGGGATTTAAGATTCATCATGAGTCACATGCCACCTAAAGATGTGTAATCACAAATCTGCTTGTTGGGAGGGGATGGAAACAAAGAACTTTTTTGTATGAGCGAAAAGAACCTACTCCGAACATAACCCAGATGATACCCTCTTCTGTTTCCTCTTCCATTAGTGATAAAAATTATTTCTGGTGTTTCTGACCAGATGCTTAGGAATAGCAAAAGGTAAACTGCCTAAAACATTTTTTCCCAAGCTTTTGAATCAAGTAACTAAATGAAATCATTGAGGAACAAGAACAAGCACAGCAGTGTCATCTGTGGGCTTTCCCAACCCACACTGGCTCCACTTCTCTGAGTGAACCGCTAGAACTGAAGCCAATTCACTAAAGCAAGCTAAAGCACACAGCCGCCCAACACAGTTAAAGGTGAAGGGTTGCTGCAGGCAGAACACTTCTTCCTTTAAAGCACCCTTATCCTGGAGATTGTAATATACAACTTGACATAAGCAGCCCTAAGAAAACAGTAAGAATCAGAGCCACTGTTTTCCATACAAACCGAGAACAAATCTCTTGCTGGATCCGAGATCCTTCTGGACTTCCCAAGAATATTTCAAATTTTAGGAGAAATGCATTATCCTATTATCTCTTATCATGTCCCCAGAATTACACAGGGCTGATGAACCACCTTGACTTCCTTCAACAGAAACCAACGAGAGTGGCAAATGACATAGCAAGATAAGTTTGAAATCTTGTCTTTGAAGGTGTCTATCAGGCTCTCATGTAACTTCTGGCAAAGTTTAAACAGTTATGTAGATCCTAAGTCACTGTAGTCCTGGCTCTGTACACACAAACCACCGGTAGATCCATCACTTACTTTAATGGGAACAGGGTTGGGTGTTTGGAATCCCAGTTTTCACACCTGAACTATTATTTGGGGCATCTTATTTGTTGTTTGAAAGGGACTTCGGATATGCTAGTGCTTACTGGAGCTTTCACATTTCAAGCTGGGTGTTCAAGATCACTATGTGTATATTATTTTGCAGAGGTATAAAGAGCTGAAGAATTCCTTTTTCTTCCATATTGCCATCACATGCAGAAAGCAGAAATTTTTTGCTTAGCCCTTAATCTCTTATTGTGTATGTAACTTCTTTCTCCCTTCCAGTAAAGAATAACCTCCCCCATATCCCATCTGCACTTTTAAACTAGCCACTGGTTTGACTTATCACAAAAAGATGTAACCGACATATCAGGAGCCATAACACATCATACAGGGCTGTCAGATCCAGGAGCTGTGCAGAGGGAGTGTATAATCCACAGAATGAGGGTGCAAAGTGTGACAGTACTGACTTAAGATATTTGCATTTGTATACATATCCATGCTTCTGTCTGTTTATCAACCCCTCACATCCTCCTGAGACATTGATATCAGTACCTTCATACTAGCAAGTATCTATGAATTAATCAGAACACAGTTCCCAAGCAGTGTGAGAAACTATTAGCTTCTAAAGTCCCGGATTGTTTTGAGAATACAGACTTTTTTGCTATGATGTCCACAGAAAGTTGGTATTTTTGATGAAAGGATAAAAAGACTGTTAAGACTGCATTTGCTTTGACCAGTGACAAAAATATAGGCTATAATCAATAAAACAGTGTGTACGAATATATACAGCTATTCCCTATATAGTGTCAGTCAGATATTTTTCATCAAACGTGTTTTAATGATTAAGTTCCATCTAAATGCCAAAGTTGAATTCTTCACGTTTGTTTCAGATCAGTTTAGCATCAATCTGTGGTAGTTAGAACTGGGTACCTCCTGCTATGAAGATGCTGTTTCTCATTGTAGCTTGGCCAATCTAATGGTTAACTGCTACTAGGAGTCCACTCGCTTTCTCTGTTTGCACTGTGCCAGCTACGGCATTCACTGACAATGCCATATGCCAGGATTTTTACAGGATTAGCTTTTTACTGGTTTAACTTGCTGAACTTGTTCATCTTGGGGTCAGACAAGAGTCAGAGAGGGTGCAAGGATGGAGAGGGCATGTAGCTAGGGTGAACAGAGGCATGCCACTACACTTCTGCTGGCAACTAACTGTAGTTTCAGTTAAGCTGTAGTGGAAAACTGCACCATCCTCCTCTTCTGTGCACTGGGATTCCTCTGACTCCCCTATACCTCCTGTGATGGGACTCACACTCTCCCTTCTGGCTGAACTCCCACAGGGCCTCTTGAGACCACATGTAAGTACATGTCAAGGGGAACATACTGCAGCTCATGGGCCAAGTTCAGAGCAGAGAATGGAGATGAAAGCAGAGACTATAATCTCCACCTAGTGCTGTGGCAACTCAGGCAGATGCAGGCAAATGTTGAACCAACCTGCACTGAAGTGCTCCTGTTTTGCACAGTCGAAATGTAAAGATTTTAGTGTGAAATACAGAGGTAAAAATTCTTCAAACTGAATTTATTTCTGGAACTTTGCAATCCACCATAAAATAGGGTATTTTGACTTCCTTTCTGATTTGGGATGAAAAAGTTTTGAAATAACTCATTTTTCCACAGGATGAAAACTATTTTCAATGACCCTTTCTTAATATATGTTGCCAGTGGATTTTGCTCATATGTGTATATATGATCAAAGTCCTGACATGAGCTTTGTCTGAGCTGGAACTCAAGTAATACACTAAGGAGACTAGTCATAAAGTGTTGGGACAAGCGTCTGGTCCCTTGTTATTTATAAGCAATTAATTTATCATCATCTTTAAAAAAAAGTGAATGCCTAAAAAACCCATAGATATAAATCCCCTCTACCTGTGCCTGGGAAATATCAAGAAAAACAAAAAAGCTTTATTTAATTTAAAAATATTTAGTCATTTCCTCAACCAAGTTTCTTTGATGAAGAACTGAATTACTCCTTAGGCACCTTCTAGAAATAGAAAGATGCTGGCCTCCACAGTGATGCACTTGTAGTGTGAGAATAAACTCCCTTGATACATATACCTGTCATGGTAAGTCCAATAGGCAGATAAAAGGATGAATTACCTTTTAAAATGTTTGTCCTTTCCTAGATTAATGGCACAATGCTATTGCCTGGACATGATAGAAAAGCTAGCAGAATTCAGACCTGGGGATCAATTTTTGCTGTTGGTAAAATCTGCAGTTAAATAATTGACCTTTTTAGTTTAGCTTGATCTCTGATTAATATTGAAGGAAACAGAACGTGAGTCCACTTTTTTCTCACTCTTTCTCTCAGCTGTATTTGATGGAAGATAGTTCACTTTCTAGCATGTCATTTTCTTCCGTTCCAATTTAGCCTGTCACCTGAATTATCCTAAACAAAAACTACCATTAATGTCTCACTTCTCTGATCACAGCCTGCACAAAGGGATTTCATAGACTCAATGAAAAGCCTTAAGAAACAGTACTAAAAAAAAAATCAGGGACCAGATTGTGCTTTCTAAGATACCAGTGGCTTAAATTTACCTGAGGTCAGCTCCATTTGGGTCTGTTTGTCTTAGGGAGAAAACGGGTGCATGGTAGCAAGCAGGCAAAACATGTATGAAGGAGCTGGGCATCTAATTTCCTTCCTATGAATCCCAGCCTTCATCAGGAAAGACAGTCCATTCATTTAATAGAGGATCTACCTAATTTGTGTCACAATGGCCTATTAGATGCCTTAAAGCAGTAAAACTAATATTTGCAGAAACTGTCATGTATTTTGGGAAGCGAGGCTTTAGGGCTTTGTTATTGGGTGACAATAGCAGTAAAAATGAGACTCGCTCAGAGATGAGCTTCTGCCACAACTTAGTTGTGGCATAAATACTCAATATCAGATTGTCCACAGTTCATTTAGTGCTACTTACACAACACAAGTTAAACCTGGAGTGACTGGAAACTTGTCCTGAAGAACTACACCCTGGAACATGGCATAAAGCAATTGTACGCATGAGGTGGAAAGTGATGGGAGGAGGACGAACGTCCTCTGACCACCCACGCTTGTGTGTGCCAGGATTGCACCTATTGCCTTTGCATGCAATGGTCATTTGCTATCAGCACTGCTGTGCTTGCCATGAGCACCTGCAGCATCATAACAGGGCTCTGATTTACACTGTGTGTGCTGCTTCCACTGTGAGCTGCCTTCATGCCTTCATCTGAACCAAACACTGTGTCTGCCTGTGTCTGTTTTAAGACAGTGAAAGAAGCAACGGAAACAAGTGGGAAATGAACAGCTCCAACGGGTAGACACTTGCTTCGGTGATAGAGGCAATAACCAGTCCTTAATCTGAAGCCCAAGAGAACAGATCTGACAGTACTGTGAAATGAAGATCTGATTTATACATTTCTTTCTGTGATTCTAATGAACGTCGCTATGATATTCAGACATCACACACAACTTGGAAAGAAGTAGCTAACTCTCATTTCTATTTTGTACCTTTTTCTAAACTCAGATGAAGCAACCTGGTGGTTTGTTCCCTGATTATCTTGCCATTCTTACAGTAGGAAAAAGTTTGCTTAACAAATGACCTGTTTTGCACTGGCTTTCCAGAAGACACTAACCCATTCTGATCCATGGCAATATGTGGGCTCTTGATGGAGGATGATTTTACAACAGTCCCTTAAAGTTTCTACGCTGTCAGTTGCAACAGTCCTGTCTATCCTAGCTGCCAAGGTAGCTTAGAAGCTCCTCAAGAGAGCTTGCCTCTTGCCCACTGAGGTCTTTATATATTATGGTATATAATGCATCAACATTCACTTCCTGCCTCATCACTATTGTTGTTTGCTGACTGCCTGCAAATTGATGCAAGAAATACTTGGCGGAAGAACAAAATGTGAGGGCACCCGGGACTCTTTTCCTGCAACAATACAGAGATCAGCACTAAACATCTCTGCCTGAGCCATTTCTGTTCTCTGACCTTGCTCTATTTCTGTTCATGGAGGACTTGTTAACAGTTGGCTGCATTGTCACAATAAGGCAAAGTCCTGGCTTCAGCTCAGGCCAAGGCGGGCTCACGTCACTCTGAAATGCATACAATACTGCTTCTGAAATGCATACAATACTCCGGCCTTCCCAAGATCTCCATGAATGATAGTAAAATAAGGATTAAATGAACAAATATATTATAAAGATGATAATTGCTATGTGTAATAACGACCCATCTGTCTCCAAGAGAGTGCAATAAGCACTAATTATATTGGATTAAAATGAGTCTTTACAGCTCTATTCTACAGCAAAGTTACAGGGCTAGATGAGACATCAAAGGGCCATTAAATCCACCTCCCTCTCTGGCTCCGAGACATGTTCCAATATACATAGCCCATTCCTGGCTAACATTTCCCTAACCTATCTGTAAAAACTCATTCAAATGATGGGGGAGTATACAGTCTCCTTAGGACAGGCATAAAGTTACTCCTTAAAAAACTAAGCTTGAGGTAAACACTAAGCATCGTGAGGGAAGGTGGTCACCAGGGGTCTCACAGATCAGAATTGACCTTGCTGAACTTTTGTTCCACGACGCAGAGACTTATTTCTCTGTGATGAGTTACTGAGCTGCTCCACTAGCAAATGCAGAAGGAGAAACCCTGTCACTCTGCCAATGCCCTCAATTTTATTAAGATGTAGGCATCTAACCTGCATTTATTTTGATTGCAAAACTGAGGACTGCAGAGACATGAGAGGGACACAGATGATGAGAAAAAAAAAAAACCCTCCTTCTGGAGTCTCTTACTTTTTTTCAAATGTCCATAGGGCTGATGTTAACTCCCACTTAAGTCTTCATAAATGGAAAATTCTTGCACTGAATCTTATGATTAGTAAGAAGCAGACGAGGAAAGAGAATCTAGACTCCAGAATGTAGGTAATGGGACTAGAAATCAGCTGGGCTGTAAAGGAAAATCTCAGACTCCACTTTCATTTATCACCCTGTAACATGCTTATGAGTCATGCCAACTCTTCCAGCATTCAATCCAAAGTAGAGATTCATGAATTCTTCCAAAATAAATGATCATGTGGGCCTTTTAAAAGTCAACTGGGCACCAAAAAATGTGGTTTCACAGAGGAATTAGCTTTACTGTAAAGCCCTAGGCAATGGTTTGAGAATGGCCACGTCGCATGCATTCATAATGTTCTACCAGAATTTACAGTAAGAACTGCATTTATGTGACCTGTTATACTAACATTTATCAGTCAATTCAGATCAATTATTGAGGAGATATAACACCACAACATAGGTCAGATAAAATTAGACTAAAACATTCTAAAGGATCTGGCAAACAGAAGCTCTGATGTGCTGGCAGATGCCCAGATCAAGAACAAAAAGTATTTGCCTCTAGGTTTGTCTAAAAATATGTTGATTTGAACAAATCTGATACTGAAAATGTGAGGAGGATACTGAAAATGTGACCTGTTGCAAGTCTCAATCAAACAGCTAGCCAATCTCTAAGGTCAGCTTTATGAGCTGTAACTGATAGCAATAAAATAAATCCTTGTTAACCATTTTACACATCATGTCAGGCATGTCTTATTTAAACCGTGTTATATTTGATGAAATGTTTGCTCTTCCAATTTTGAGCGCTGGTGTTAAATTAATGAGTCACCTCAATAAAACATCAGCCACTGGTAAGAGAAATTGCTATTTCCTGTTCTATCTTGTCTGTCTCGTACACTTAGTGATACAAAATCAGTATTCTGAAAATTCATCTATGTTACGCTTTTCTGTAGCACCTATTACAAAATAGTGGAAGTGCCAGATCCTGGCCTATGGTCATTTAGGGCTAAAAGTGACAAGAGAGGGTCAATAAAGCTACCTTACTGGAGAAGTTAAGAGTCCTATGGCATAAACTAGCACAACCTGCTATACCAGTTCTGTAAATACTCACCCAGGCCAAGGAACACTACAATGTGTTTAGAAAAACGGTGCACCTAGAAGTCTTGGAGCTCCTTGGAGCTGTTGCTGGCAGCTATGTATGTATAAGAGAGAACCTGGGGCTACTCTGAATAATTCCAAGAGAGAAAAGGATTCCTGGAGGTCCCTGGCATGGAAAGCATAGAATTAGCATTTAGCCTAGCTTGCCAGACCCAGTGAGAAGGGATAAGTATTTTAATGTGGAATATAAAAGCAGAAAGATGGAGGGACCCAGACTATCAGACTGCCTCCCTCTGGAGTATCTCTTTCAAGCCAAGCCCTTCAGCTTTGCTTTCCTCTGCAACTGAAATACTACAAGAATTCTTTTGTTTAAAGCAAGCTGCCTATTTTCACTCCGAACCAGCTTCCACAATCAATACACCATGTTTATTACAGTTGAATGCAGAAATTACTCTATGAAACAGTGCAAATAGCCTCAGGTAGTACTGTGATAAGCCAGATCATTAAATAAAACAGAGACAAGAAGTTAGAAAAAACTGACAACGCTGAAAGCAGCTTTCTATTTCTTTCATGTACAGGTATGTGGGTAACACATATATGTATGCAAGAGACATAGGTACCCATTAAAAGGCTCTAGCTCCTGAATCCTCTCTGTTAGAGTTCACTTAATCTTTTTTCTTTTTCAAGCATGGCAGCCAGTCTTCAAAAATTTAGCTAAGAAAATTTAAATTAAAAAATAATAACGCAGCTCCACTTACATTCCAGTCTATGGTAATAAAGAAAGGATGACGTTTAATTTCTTCAACTCCATCGAATCCAGCACCTAGCAAGAGAATGGAAGAATCAAAATAAAGGCATGCTTAGAAAAGAGTGCTTTATGACATCTCTTCTCCAAACTTCTTCCCCTGTCCCTTCCTTTTTTCTGACAAAGCCAAAGTCACTATCTAAATACTTCTTCTAGTCAAAAAACCTTGACCAGTACAATTGCCATAACTATGTAAACTGCCAGAAATACAGAGAATTGCACTTCCTTAATGAAAACGTAATGGCAGAGGGTTTTTTATTTTTCTTTAAAGGAGGCTTGTGCCAAGTCTGACCTCAAGAACTGCTCTCTTCAGGCAAGACATAGGATCCAGCTGCCACAGAGCGCGTGCGCCAGTGAGGCTAGGAGCAACCTGACTTCCCGATCCTCTGGCATGTTAATGCTGCTTCCTGCCACTAACTGCAGATCTCCTGTCCATAGCTGACTTAGAAATCTTTCTAATCACCCATTTTTCATGAGCAGGAAAAACTGCACTACAAATAAGTTTAGACTCAAAATATCAAAAGGCTCCAAATGATTTGAGGTAACTGGGGTTTTTGGGTTCCCTCTTTTCAAATAACCACCTTTATATTTTTATTAGTATCAAAACCATCACTATCAGTGGTACCTTTCCTTCATTGATAGTTAATACTGTTAAATTTCTGTAACGTTATTCTGCAGGAGATTTAGTGAAACTCCTTTGAGATCTAGTAACGAATCTAATTCTTTCATTACTTTTGCCTTACGTCTTCATTCAAGATTACCTTTCTTATTCCTTGCAGCTACTTGATTTTATTTGCTTCACTACCATCACAAAAACCAACAGGTGTTCAGTAATAACTAAACAACTATCAGAGATGACTTAGTGTGCCATTTTTTTGACTGATTTGCCTTTATTAATAGCACCTTTCATTTTTCAGTATGAGAAAAAAAAAAAAAAACACCTGGAAGCAAAAGTTTTGCATTGCAATAATTTCGGAGCCAGTTCCTGAAAGGTGTTCAGCACCTTCATTACAAGGATGCAGAGCATCCTTGATTTCCAAAGGACTCACAATTAACAAGCACCTTCCAAAAGGCACTCAGCACCTCAGAAGATTTAATTTTTTGTATGCAATATTTGTACTTCCTGGAGATCAACATTGCAAACAGTTTTAAAAAGGTTTTGTCAAATCTAGCTTTTGTAAAATGTGACATCTGCTTTCCTCGTGTTAAAGACATTAGTGATGTTTGTAAAAATGCACTGATCAGGAACGGCTTCCTATAGCCTGCTTAACTTTCACTGATGAACAGATACAAACAAAAAACCACTTTGTGAACATAACCTGTGGGGTTGTCAGTCAGGCCTACTTGACAATAACTTAGAAGGAATGTTCTTCTGATTACTTCCCCATCCTGATAATCTTCTCTTATAGACAAATGTAAGTGACGCACACGAGGATAAACACTCAGCCTGGCATACCAAGGCTGAGCTATGAGCTGACCATCTCCCCTCAGGAGTGAGGTCTGTGGGTTATGACAGACAGCTCTATGAAAACATAACAGGTAATCAAGTCTCAGGGAATAGAGGACAAAATGGAGAACATCACTATGTCACTATAAAAGTCTGTGGTGCACCTTCAGCTTGAGTACTGAATGCAGCTGATTTCCTTACCTAGAAAAGGGTATATTAAAGTTGGAGAAATCATAGAAAGGCAATAAGGAACAGTATGGAATGACTTCCGTATGAGGAATGACTGAGTAGGCTGGGATTTTCAACCTGGAAACAGATGATCAATGGGGTATATGATGTAGCTTTACAAAATCGTGATTATTTGGAATAGGTGGCTAGGGATTAGCTGTTCCACATCTTTTCC